GCGAAACCGCACGAGACGGCTACAGTACACACACAGTACACACACAGTACACACACACACAGTACACACACAGTACACACACACAGTACACACACAGTACACACAGTACACACACAGTACACACACAGTACACACACACACAGTACACACACACACAGTACACACACACTACACACACTACACACAGTACACACACAGTACACACACAGTACACACACACAGTACACACACAGTACACACACAGTACACACAGTACACACACAGTACACACACACAGTACACACACAGTACACACACAGTACACACACACACAGTACACACACAGTACACACACACAGTACAACACACAGTACACACACAGTACACACACAGTACACACACACAGTACACACACAGTACACACACACAGTACACACACACACAGTACACACACACAGTACACACACAGTACACACACAGTACACACACACAGTACACACACACAGTACACACACAGTACACACACAGTATACACACACACAGTACACACACAGTACACACACAGTACACACACACACAGTACACACACAGTACACACACACAGTACACACACAGTACACACAGTACAAACACAGTACACACACAGTACACACACACAGTACACACACAGTACACACACAGTACACACTATACACAGTACACACACAGTATACACGCAGTACACACACTATACACAGTACACACACAGTATACACAACAGTACACACAGTATACACACAGTACACACAGTACACACACAGTACACACACTATACACAGTACACACACAGTACACACAGTACACACTACACACAGTACACACACACTATACACAGTAAAGACACTATACACACAGTACACACACACAGTACACACACAGTACACACACACAGTACACACACAGTACACACACACAGTACACACACACAGTACACACACAGTACACACACAGTACACACGCATAGTACACACACACACACAGTACACACACACAGTACACACGCAGTACACAGTACACATACACAGTACACACACAGTACACACACTATACACAGTACACACACACACAGTACACACACTATACACCGTACACACACAGTACACACACAGTATACACACAGTACACACACTATACACAGTACACACAGTATACACACAGTACACACACTATACACAGTACACACACAGTATACACACAGTACACACAGTACACACACAGTATACACACAGTACACAGAGTACACACACAGTACACACAGTACACACTACACACAGTACACACACACTATACACAGTAAAGACACTATACACACAGTACACACACACAGTACACACAAACTATACACAGCACACACACAGTACACACACACACTATACACAGTACACACACAGTATACACACAGTACACACACACAGTACACACACAGTACACACAAACTATAAACAGTACACACACTATACACACAGTATACACACAGTACACACACAGTACACACTACACACACAATACACACACTATACACACAGTACACACAGTATACACACAGTACACACACAGTACACACTACACACACAATACACACACTATACACACAGTACACACACAGTATACACACAATACACACACTACACACACAGTACACACTACACACACAGTACACACACACTATACACAGTAAACACACACTATATACACAGTACATACACAGTACACACACTATACACACTACACACAGTACACACAGTACATATACACACAATACACACACAGTACACACACAGTACACACAAACTATACACAGTACACACACACTACACACACAATACACACACTACACACGGTGCGTTCAAACCGCACGTTATAGCGAGAAATCGCGCAAACCGAAGCCGCAAAGAACGGGGGTGAACCCAGCGTCTCTTGAGCGAGGAGCAGTGACCAGGGTATCAATTACATTGGGCCGTGACTGTACCGGTATCCAACCTCCACGCCGTAACTCGGCGCCTGGTGCCCCTCTGGTCTCGATGAGCCACGTGTGCAGTTGCACCGCCTGCACACCCGATAACCCACGCCACTCTCCGAGACCCGGCCTCCATCGGTCGACGATTCCCGAGTGAAAACACGTTTCGTGGTTGGGGTGTTTTTTTTTTAATTCGGGGCATAAACTCTCCGTCTCCCGATCTCAGCCCCCGTTTGGGCTCCTGCATCAGCAGCAGTTCTGACTCCCACTCGCGGGCGTAAATCAATGGATGCATCCACTAGGAATCGATGTTTTGAGTTCGCCAATCACGCATCGCTAAACGCTCACGTACGAACAGTGTCGTGGTTTATTTGTTTCTGTGTCGGTTTCGAGTCGCGTTCGGGCGCGCGTATTGGAGTTGCGTCACTGCCGCAACCACTTGTGGCCGCTACACACTCGCAATTAGTTTATGTCGGTCGACCCCCCTCCCCCCCCCCCCATATCCAGGCATCGTTGAAAGAGGAACCCATTTCGACACCCAGGTGTCTCATCAGCGGAGCCAGGCTCGTTTCAATCATTGCTGGTGAATTCAAGTATTCACTCCCAGAGGCCGCGATGGATTGCGTACAGAATGTTTGTTCTTGCACGGGAAGTCAATAGTCATACTGTGAATAGTAAAGGAAACGTCGTCGGCTGATCTGTTTAGGCTTTTAACAGAGTGGGCGGCGAGGTTGTAAGGGGTCACGGAGCACAGCTAGCCCGCTTTGTGGTGACTCACGACCCGGGACACAAATCTCTGCATCACCATCATGTTTACAACACTTCACCGCGTCCCGAGCTGTCTCTAAATCACTTGTTGTTGTTGTTAGCATGATTGCCGCCGGCGCTGCGATGTATTCATTCTAATGCACTTTACGACAGTCACGCCACCCATGGTACCAAAAAAAAACAGAAAGTCAAAGCCCGACAATTTTAATCAATTGTTGGGCAGTGCTCCACGTCCATTGCTGGTCCTGAGCTGAAATGCGGCAATTCCACGTGCGCATGTTGCAGCGTGCGCAGCATTCAGTGGCACGTGGTCGTGCCGGGCACCGCAAGATCTGACCGTGTCCGCCCAGAGCTCGCCGAGCTGCATCGGCTACCTACCGGTTGCTGAACGGGCACATTGCAATGTCGCACTCGTGACACACAAAGTGCTCGGCGCAAAATGAACCACGATACATCGCTGGTCTCGTCGAGAAGCATGAACCGTCATCACGCGAACTCCGCTCATCATCGCATCAGCGGAGTTTGGCTCGGCCATCAAACAAATAAGGCGGTCACTGCTTTTGAGAAGCGCTTCTGCGGCCGTCTGGAACGCTCTCCCTTCCGATATTAGGAAGCCACTGGAGCTATGCACTTTTAAATCATTTAGACTGACAAACTCATTTATGTATAACTGCTTTGTGTGTTTATTTTGCTGTCCTTTCCCCCGCACCTCCGATTAGCACCGTTGGCTGCGTGCGGTGCGAAAGAAGTTCAACGTACGTACGTGCTGTCCGATAGCACAATCACATTCTAATTGTCTTCCTCCTTGCCAAGGAGTGTCACTTTGCCGCGAAGTTTCCTTGTTAACTGATGGAGCTGTATGGCAGAATGCATGTCAGCATTCGACGCCCTTACAGCCCTTTGTTAATCCACTGTGGATGAAGCCCAACCCCCACTCTATTTCGCCCGCGACGGATATCTTCCCTCCCTCTCGCGGACATCCAGTAACGCGTTTGAGACAGGCAAGTCACTTATCCAAGCACTAGCCAGGCTCACCCCGGCTTAGCGTCCCAGGTCTGACGAGATCATTCCAACCGATTAGGTCTATGGGCAATTGTGGACGTATCGAGCGATATTAAACATATGTGGTGCAGCCTTTGTCAACGTGAATTCATTTAAAAAGCTACTCAAGCGTTATGTGTGGTTTGTTTGGATGCGTGTATAATTGATGTTCGGAGGTGATAGCACAAACGCAATGGATGATGATGAAAGCCTCTACAGGGTTAACAATACATACAGAAGTCTGGTCCGTCCTACATATGTCCAAATGCATATGTATAACACGCATTTATACGCATGTACCACATACTGTTGAAACCCAGTATAAGCATATTTAAACACAAAGATCCCCCGTATAGCCTTAACAGACTGTGTGGCCAAGTGGTGTTAGCGAGCACCTATGAAGGCCGGCACGGCACACGAGGGGGTGGTTGACCAGCACCACGCCCGGCCGCCTTTGTCTCCATAGTGGCGATGTTTACGCAGAACACCAGGTATTCATTTGAGGCTGAGACGACCTAGGGGAGGCCCAGAACCGGTTCAGATAATTATCATCACTGGTGTTGGCCGTGAGCGGGAATCGAACTCGGGTCGTCTTCGGGTTCGTAGCGCAGCGTAGCGCTAACCGCTGCGCCACCGCTCCCCTTGTGCACAAAGACAAAGATCCCCCAGTATAGCCTCAACAGACTGTTGGGGTAAGTGCTGTTAGCAAGCATCTATGCACACCGTGCAAGTGTACACACTCACACACTCACCACACACACACTCACACAAACACCACACAAACACACCACACACACACTGACACACACACACACCACACACACACTCACCACACAGACTCACCAAACACACACACACACCACACAGACTCACCAAACACACACACACCACACACACTGACACACACACACACACCACACACACACTCACCACACACACACACACCACACACACCACTTACACACCACTCACACACACACACTCACCACACACACACACCACACACACACACACACTGACACACACACACACCACACACATACCACTCACACACCCCACACACACTGACACACACACACTGACACACACACACCACACACACACACCACACACACACACACTGACACACACACTCACCACACACACACCACACACACACACCACACACACACTCACCACACACACACTGACACACACACACCACACACACACTCACCACACGAAGACGCTCAGTGCCCACGCCAACGCGCCGCTGCGCACGGCTCGCGAGCAGGCGCGGTGGTGCGCCACCACGTAGCGGTCGAGGCTCATGATGACCAGCACGTAGACGCGCGCGAGCATGTTCAGGTAGCGCACGGACACGTGCAGCTTGCACAGCACGCTGCCGAACGGCCACTGGCCCGCGGCCATGCTCACGGCCCTGGGCAGGTCGGCGAGCGCCACCAGGGCGTCCATGAGGGCCACGTTGAACACGAGCACGGCGGTGACGGTCTTGCGCTCCGTGCCGCACAGCGTGGCGGCCACCACGGCCGTGTTGCCCGCCACGCCGAGCGCGCACAGAAGGGCGAACAGCCCGGCGCCCGCCGCGGACGACGCGTCCGTGTTCTCGAACACCAGCATGGTCGTTCTCGGCGTCTCCTCCTCCTCGTCCTTCCTCGTTTGCTGCTGCTGCTGTTGCTGCTGCTGCTATTCCTGTTGCTTCTGCTGCTCTATCCCGCTATTCCTGTTGCTACTGCTCCTTCCCGCTATTGCTGCTGCTATTCCTGTTGCTTCTGCTGCTCTATCCCGCTATTCCTGCTGTTACTGATCCTTCCCGCTATTGCTGTTGCTGCTGCTACTCCTCCCGCTATTCCTGCTGCTGTTGCTGCTGTTGCTATTCCTGCTGCTGCTCCTTCCCGCTATGCCTGCTGCTGCTAGTCCTCCCGATATTCCTGCTGCTGCTGCTCCTTCCCGCTATTCCTGCAAGCGACACGAGCGTCGCGCTACGCGGGCGCGCACGTTGCCCCCGCGTGCATCACAGCGGCGAGGATCAGTCCGACGCGAACGGGAACATCGCCCGCTGTGACTGCCGCCGCTGCTGAATGACACGAGGCGACGTTGCGCGGCTTCACGCTCCGGTGACGACGGCGGCGGCGATGATGATGAAGGACGTCAGCCCGGCGCGGAGAGGCAGAGACGCGCTCGCGTCTGGGATGTGCAATGAGGTGGGGGAGCAGTTGAGATTTTGCTTTTGAGTCACTCGGCCAAGTCGCAGTGGAGGATGGGGAGGGGGGAGCGGTAAGGGGGGGGGGGCGAAAGACGGGCGTGGGAGAGAGCAGAGGGGGTGGTGCAGAACGAACAATAATTGGGGTTTTAAGTCTGTGTTGGACACCAACCAATGGCCAATGATAACGGCCTTGATCAATCCACCGCTGGATGATGAAGGGAATCCCAACCCACCCCCCCCCCCCGGGATGTAACAACCCACTTAGCGCGTGGCAATACGAGAGCTGATTCCATTGCTCCATCTCCTCGGGGTGACCCCGAGCTGCCGTCGGTGTGCGTTCCGCCTAATTCGTGAACGCGTCTATCGGAGCAAACCCCAACCTCCCCTCCCTCGCGAGCCATTGCGACTCGTCGATACATTTATCGTAGTGCAGGGACCACGATTCGATTGCAGGATCGATTTAGTTTTGACTCCTTTACTGACTCGTTTGCAGTGTTTGTGTTCTCTCCGTGTGAACCTAGACGTGACGTCAGATATATTCACTTTGCGTCGAGTTTGAATACGCGTACATCGCAAAAACATTGACTGGGATGCGTGCATTGTCAGCCTTTAGATTCGATATTGATCGATGTATGTATCGTTGCACATGACTCAGGTGGTGAGATGCTGTCTCCCTCGCCTGGTAAACAGCAGGTCGTCGGTTCGATACTGGCCCTGGTGATGCCTGTTGTATATTTGGTGTTTTCGTGTTCTCTCTCTCTCCCCGTGTCGGTCACGTGGATTTTTCTCCAGGCTTCTCCGGTTTTGCCCGCTTCCACACTTATAACCAACATCCCTTTAGATTATTTGACTGCGACTAGAAATTCCCACGTATGATGATATTAGAAGCCACTTCGATGAGCTGTCATCATGTGTGGCCAGGTCGCCTCCGAAAAAGATCTGAGAGCTCAAACGCAGCTGCAACGCCTTCAAATCATCCGAGAATAAAGCCGCTGCAATAATTTTCAACCTCCAGAAATCATCCCACAAATTCAAAAGGCACTTACACCGGTTACCAATCAAATACAGGATAGACATCAAAATCATCCTCCTATTAACATACAAAGCAATACACAACTAAGCTCCACCTTACATAAAACACCTCGTAGAGATCAAAGCAAAACAACAGATCACTTTGCTCCTCAACCCACACCACTCCTCTAACCAGCAGCAACCAAACACACAAACCACGTGGTTGGACAGATCTTTCTCGTTTGCAGCACCACACCTCTGGACCAACCTCCCCGAAGCAATCAGCACACTCGACTACATCACTACATGCGAGTTACAACTCAACAACAACACATCTCTTTGCACTTGCATCCAACCAACTCACAGACACTACTCGCTTTTATGTTTTATACTTTAAACAATAGATTATATTTTTTTCTCAGTTTATAGAATTTTCTACTTTTATGTTTGAGTATGTATGTGATGATGGCGCTCTGAGTGGCAGATTTATCCCAGAAAGGTGCCGCACGTGTGGCGTCGTACTCAAAATTTTAAATGATGTTGATTCACTCTGCAACACACCGATGGGCTAAAGTAGTGAATTATTTGTCTTTTGTAAACGTGACACATTTTTTACTGTTTAGCCGTGTCGGGTGGTGGAGGGTTACGACACATTTATAAATAACGCGATCTAACCCAAAAACCTTTATTATGAAGAATGATTTCCTTTTTTATCCTTTATTTATTCAAGAAAATCTGAATGAGTCTGAAGACTTTTTTTTTTTTTACAAGAGGTTCTTGTTACATTAAGATGTCTTAATATCCAAGCGATTATGGGTAAGGAAAGATGTCCCCAAGACGATACTCCTCCCTCTGGCACGTTTCGACTACCAATCATGAGACCATTGAATTCCTTTCGATCCATGCGCCAGTTTCCCATGGTTAATTGCTCGGAGTTTCGAATTGAGATTTTCTGGCCAGTTTCAGCGATGTGTGCTTTGTGTGCGGGAGGAAGCTGATAAAACCCATACTCTTTGGTTCTATTCGGTAAAGGTGACTTTACCGAATAGAACCAAAGAGTATGGATCCTTGCAGTCACGAAAGCTTCAAATCTAGAATTGATAAAACCCACTTACGCATAAGAGGGGCTAACACTTGTTGAGATAGGTCAGGCCCCACCGCCACTCCGCATGAGAGGGGCTAACAATTATTAAGACAGGTCCTTAAGGCCCCACCGATCATTTTTGGGTTTTTTTTCAAGGGCGGCCTGCCCATGAACCCGGCAGTGAGTGAGACGTTATGAAGATGATGTCACATAGGATATTGACAAATAAAATACAATTATCAAACACATTTTAAAATTAATTTAATTACTAAATCCAAGGGGAAGGCCTGCAAACGCATGAACGTAAAAAGCGGCATAGCATTTAAATGAAAACGTACAAAGTGACCCGAGGCGTGATTTAATAGCTATTTAAATGCCTCGGTGCAGCAGCTGCCTCGTTTGGGACTGCATTAACACGTGTGGCAGACACGCTCGTGCAGCCCCGCATAGATCCACCCCCCGAATCCACCCACTTGCTGTACTACCGCCGAATCCTGGCCACCTCACGGCCCAGCAGGCATGGGAGTCTCGCTGATCTCGGCGTGATTCCAGCAACGCTCGCTTCAAAATATCGCGGGCGTGCACCAGCTTGATACATCATATCATCGGCGTGATGCAGAAGTACACATTTCTTTTTTCTATCAGCCGAGGCCGTGTTTTCGTTTTCGCCTCTGACGAATTCACCAGTCACGCGCACCCTCTCGTCGGCTCTTTGAAGCTAAGCCGGATTGAGCCTGGCTTTGCACTGGTACGTACGCACGTTGAACTTATTTCGCACCGCACGTAGCCTACCGCGATAATCGGGAGGTGCGGGATGAACGACCACCGGGGGGCTTTGCCAGGTCTTTGGCCGAAGAGGTGGCATAGTCATAGCAGTGCAGAAATGGATTCCTGAATCCATCTGTGCAGATATTTGAGTGGTATCCCCCTCCCCCCCAATGCCATGCCCCCCCCCCCCCACCCTTGCATGCGAAGGTTTTCTCTGGGTACCGAAATTTCCCCGGGCACCCCGAATGTTGCCTCAACAGAGTCTTAGCCTCAGCTGAGATGTGATGATGATTATTACCATGAATTGTTGGGAGGGGAAACAACTTAAAAAAATGTATACAAATTACTCAACTCACTGGCATAGCTCGTAAAATGTCAATGAGTTTCGAATGTGGTGCTGTACAAAAGGCTGCGATGTACAACTTGTAAGAGAGCTTTCAAGTGAAACGAAATGAAATGTGCTCAGCACGATGACTCGCACATCCGCGCTGTAGCTTCGACACGCGTGAATGTGTTGTGTGTGTGGGGGCAATGTCCCATCGGTGAGCTCCTCCGGCAGGCAAGGCTGCGTTGGCTGGGTCATGTAGCCCGCATGCCCAGCCACCGTATGCCTAAACAGCTTTTGTTCGGCCGGATAGAGGGGGCTAAAGGGGCGCGGCACGGGCTAGAGAAGAGATGGAGTGATGTGGTACAGGAGGACGTGGAGCTGAGTGGACTTGCCGATGACTGGTACCAGCGGTGTCAAGATCGGCCTCTGTGGAGGAGGCTCGTGAAGGACGCTACTGGGCAGTTGGTGGCAGTCGCCCTCCAACAACAACAGAGGGCGGAGGAGCGACGCTCACAACAAGCGGAGCGCCGGGTGGCTAAAGCACAGCAAGTTGGCACAGTAGGGGGCACAGGTGGTGCATCAGTAAGTCATCTCAGTCAGTCGACCTGTGGCACCTGGGTCTGCCCCGTGACCTCCTGCCAGCGTGCGTTCGACACTTCACGTGGCCTCGAGGTGCACATGGCCTGGCACAAGCGTCGTGGTGACGTCACCGCCACTTAGTGGCGAATGGCGGCTGTTGTTGTGTGTACGTGTGTGTGTGTACGTGTGTGTGTGTCTGGGGGAGCGGTGGTGTAGCGGTTAGCGCGCCGCGCTGCGAACCCGGCCACCAGAGTTCGATTCCCGCTCACTGTCAACACCAGTGACGATTATCTGAACGGGTCCTGGGCCTCCCCTAGGTCGACTCAACCTAAAATGAGTACCTGGTGGCGGTGTGTAAACATCGCGACTAGGGAGACAAAGGCGGTCGGGCGTGGTGCTGGCCACCCACCCCCTCGTGTAGTTTACCCAGGACTAGTCCATCTATATTCAGAATATTCAGAATATAGATGGACTAGTCCTGGGTAAACTGCCAAATCGTTGCGCGTGGCGCTAACGTTTTTTTATAAATAAATAAATGCGCCGTTTAAAAATAAATTTATGCGAACCAACACACCTGAAGACGACCGTTTGAGTTATGGTCGAAACGTCGTGAGAATTTTTTATTGTTTTATATATATTTTATTATTTTGTTGTTTCTCTTCAACGTGACTTTACCGAAAAAACTAAGAATATGTAGCGCTTTGTTAATCCACTGCTGGACAAATGGCTCCACCACACCGTGTGTCTGTCATGGGGGTGATTCGACTACACTCGCTGCCGACCGATATTGGGGCCATCCTTGGGAATCGAGTTCAGGGCCCTCCTTTTGCATTTCACTGCTGCGCCACCAACTTGCACCCCTCCCCTCCCACGTCCTCGTCACGCGCGTTAGGGGCCGTCCATAAATGACGTCATGCGATTTTGGACGATTTTTGACCCCCCCCCTCCCCCTCGTCACACGGCGTCACAAAAAAGTCAGACCCCCCCCCCCCCCAATATAAATGCTTCAAATCTCTTTAAACTATTGTCATTGTAGTGCGTATTTAATGTGGTGCCGTACTCTGATGTTGTTTATTAAAGAGTCTATTTTATTAAGCAGACCGTGTGGTCTATATTTATTTAAAGTTGCGCATTTTGATGTGACGTCATATTTCTCAAACCCCCCCCCCCCTCGTCATACATCGTCACAAATGTCTGACCCCCCTCCCCCCCTAGGTGCGTGACGTAATTTATGGACGGCCCCTTACATAACCGGCCGTCCGGTGGGGCTCATTTTCACACGCCGGTGACAAT